ATAACATTCACATTCTTCTCTTATGTATATTATACCTCAATAAAATATTAAAAAGAATGTAACAGACCTACTTGTATTGATATAGAGTGTTCTTCAAAATATTAAGTGAAAAAAATCATGGTGCAGACAGTATGTATTGCATGTTACTATTTTTGTGTTAAACCACAGACAGATATAAATGCCTATACATAAATAGATGCTTTGGAAGAACACGTAAGTAACTAAAGATGCAATGGTTATTATGGGAGAGGAAGGTGTAGAACTGGAAGTTCAAAGTGAGAGAAAGACTGATTTTTCAATTTATGTATCCTTTTTTTCAATTTTAATCTGTTACCATGCATATTTATTCATTTACAATGACAAAATCTAATCTAGGCAGTCAAAAAGGGCTCCCTTTTCTCCCTAGGTACCAGGCTGCTACTTTGGAGCAATTTGCTGCAATTTGTGGTGTGAATCAGCACCCAGATACTTGATGGGGGGAGGCAGTGTGGTTTATCAGAAAGGAAATCAGTGGTGGTTTGCTATTGTAGAAAGTGAAAGGACATAATAAAAAGCGCATTATTTGAAATATGAAGTGGGTTTGATTCCTAAATCCATCTGTTTCTAGCTGTGTAATCTCAGTTATTTAACCTCTCTATGCCCCATCTGAAAAATGAAGATACCACTAACAGGGTTCTTACAATGATTAATAACAACATGAACACATGTAAAGCAGCTAGCATAATACTTGAAACATGGTTGGCCCTCAAGGATTAATTTTGCTATTCTTCTCCAAAAATAAGTTGTCTGCAGACTGGGAAGTCAGGAGTTAAAAAACAACCGTGATTCGAAGGTAAAGATGGGCTACAAAACCAAGGAAAACACTGCCTCACCAGCAACATCAAGAGTAGGTAAGGGGACCTGAGTCTGGGAAGACAGCTCAAAACCTTGAAAAGGCACAAGGAGAGAGAAAACTGAAATGAAAAAGAATAAGCCTGGTAGAAACAGAATAGCAAAGAAAAAAGAACAGACTTCAGAAGTTGGGGCAAGGGGTCAGAGACTGGGGAGTATAGTGACTAAACTTTGGAGCTGACAAAAAATACACTGACCGAGGAGTTAGGGCACAGTTTTCTTGAGATCTCTCTCCCTACCTTTTCTATTCTCTCTTTGCGATCAAAAATAATAATTAAGCCGACTCTTTCCCAGGGCTTTACCTGAATCTCAATACAGTAAGGTCAGCATTCTCTTGAACTAACAGGAAAACTTGGCAAGGGCCTCAAAGACAACCCTGAAAGCTAGAAAGGTAGGAGAAAATATTCTCTCTGGGCGTTGCCTGGGGACTTCCAGGACAGGCTTAAAAGGCTGACAGACCAAGGCAATAGAACAGAAAACTAGCTGACACATGAAAGCATCAAGGATGACAATTCTAACTTGGAAGAATACCACCTCATACTCCCCACTTGGCCCACAAATACCCAGTGAGCTTATAAAAACTTTTTCAGAGCAATATGAAGCCTACGGAGATTATTTCTGTGTAACAAAAATTAAGACCAAGAAAATCCCCTATCAAACAAACAAAAAAGGATTAAAACAAGTTTTCTAGCATATCTTTAAAAAAGGATTCCCATGGACAGATTGAGACAGAACAGTTAAAAACTGGAGACTTCAAACCTGGCATCAGCTGTAAGAAAGATTTACTGTTGTTTTGAGATGGAGTCTCACTCTCTTCCCCAGGCTGGAGTGCAATGGTATGATCTTGGTTCACTGTAACCTCTGACTCCCAGGTTGAAGCGGATTATCCTGCCTCAGCCTCCTGAGTAGCTGGGATTACAGGCATGTGCCACCACACCCAGCTAATTTTGTATTTTTAGTAGAGAAGGGATTTCACACATTAGCCAGGCTGGTCTCCAACTCCTGACCTTAGGTGATCCATCCACCTCGGCCTCCCAAAGTGCTGGGATTACAGGCGTGAACCACAGCACCTGGCTAGAAAGGGAGGTTTTTTACCTCACCATCAGATGCCAGCTTACCAATAAAATAAATTACAGGTATACCTTACAATCTGACTGTTCTTATCTACACCTAGAAACCAAAGAGACACGGATAAATTTGACATACGCCTCGTTATCCGAAACTCAGAAACTACGTATATTTGGAATAACTCTTTACTGTCTGAACTTACTGTATCCAAAATCTTTCCATCCAAATTCAGGAGCTCAACAGATTCAACGGCAAGGAATACTTAAGTGAAGCATTTGCTGTGGTAGTGAGAAGTCTAAGTTCTAGAGCTTTCATGCTGCCATTGTCTAGGAATGACTACTATAAAGCAGAGAAGCACACTGGTCTCACAAAGCTTTAAAAACTCTCAGTCACACTTGTCAAGTTCTTTCAAAACATAAAATGAAAAAAACCCCACCACGTTCAGAAAACATCTCTAATCCAAAAAGAAAGAAAGTGGGATGGAGTGGACCTGTCATCCCACAAATCTATCATTGAGTAAAATCAGGAGCTGAGCCAACTTCACTGTGCAGTCTATAAGAAGCAATCAGGAATACTCAGCAAAGAAAGCTGGACTAATTGGCACCTCAGAAAGAAGACAAGACATAGGAAATCAATAGTTCATGCTTGAGAATCTCAGATGCAGTTAATTGACTAAGCACCACTTACAGATATTGTAAAGCTAGAATCGTTATTACTAGAATTATTATTTCCTAAAAGAAAAGTGTGAGGTGACACTAAATAGTTCAAAGAGCATTTCCTGAGGTTACAGTCACTTGGATAAGCTAACAATAAAGATTTAAGACCTGCAGCATGACCATACACATTTATGTTATTCCAAGCAGCTTAGATTCAAGTTGCAAGATAGATCACAAACATTTCTCTCTACTGCTATGCTCTTCAAGCCAAACGACTGATTTGATTTCAAAAACGAAAAAGACTAGGAAGAAAGAATTCTGATTTTTAATTACCTCCAGCTTCTCTGAATAAACTATTCATCAGCATGAGAAAAGGTTTTAAACTCTGACCCTAGGCTTCTTCATATGTTAAATGGCTTAAAATGACAACCACCTTCAAAGAATGTGAGGTATCAACTAATTGTAAAAGCAAAATCTTGCCACCCTAAAGAAATCTTAATTTCATTACTTTCTTTCTTTTTTTAAATAGAATCTTGCTCTGTCATCCAGTCTGGAATGCAGAGGCGCAATCTCAGCTCACAGCAACCTCTGCCTTCTGGGTTCAAGTGATTCTCCTGCCTCAGCCTCCCTAGTAGCCGGGATTACAGGCGTGCAGCACCACGCCCAGCTAATTTTTTTAATTTTTAGTACAAACTGGTTTCACCATGTTGGCCAGGCTGGTCTCGACCTCTTGACTTCAGGTGATCCACCCGCTGTGGCCTCCCAAAGGGCTGGGATTGCAGGCGTGAGCCACTGTACTCAGCCTCGTTACTTTCATAAAACAAGTAAACAAAATACATTAATCTAGTGGAAACAGACGTGCTACTAAAGAACTATCTTTGAAGTAATCATTTTAAGATGTTGCTGACCTATCAATTCTACGGTCTCAGGCATGGCAACATTGAAAAATCTCAATCCCTTGGTTAAGATTCCATTCACCATTCATTCACGCAACAGATTATGGTGCCCTTACTGTGTACATGATATATGCTAGGTGCTATAACAAAATTTAAAATCTCATTGTTGTCCTCCAGATGCTTACATTGCCCTCAAGGGTGTTACATATACAATTACATAAGGCACATTGCATTATCAATGATAAAAACTGCTATGAGTTCAGAAAAAAAACAAGCACTTCCTAAAGGAAGCAATGTCTGAACCATAAGCCTGAAAGCTGGATCAGGTTCCAATAAAGTCAGAAAAATTAAGGCTTCCAGAAAAAAGAAACAGTTCGAATACAGAAAGATAGGCATCCTTTCTCCACTTCTGTTAAGTACAGAAAATTAAGAGCACCAAATAAGTCTAATCAAATTTGAAAAGAAATATTTTGCAATTCTCTAGAAATAATTTTTTTCTTATGTACACAATCGTTAAAAAACTTAAAAAACAAATTTTTTTTTTTTTTTGAGTCTCACTCTGTCAGCCAGGTTGGAGTGCAATGGTGCGACCACAGCTCACTGCAACCTCTACCTCCCAGGCTCAAGTAATTCTCCCCTTCAACCTGACAAGTGGCTGGGAACACAGCGGTGCAACACCATACCTAGCGAATTTTTTGTATTTTTGGTAGAGATGGGGTTTTGTCATGTTGCCTGGGCGGGCCTCGAACTCCTGAGCTCAAGGGATCCACTCACCTCGACCTCCCAAAGTGCTGGGATTACAGGTGTGAGCCACTGTTCCTAGCACAAATCTATTTTCAAGTTTCTCAAATAACTAAGTCCATAAAATATTGCAGAGGTGTTACCTTGAAGAGCCAGAACTGTCTTTCCATAATAATTCATAAAGAAAAAAAAAGTTTCATGTTGACATGCATGTCATGCTTCCATTTAAACAGGGTTTTAAAAACAGCATGGGGGAGAAGAGAGAAAACTGGCTTTAGAATGAGACAGACTTAGGTTTTGAAACTCAGCTCTACTGCTTACTAGCAGTTTGACCTTCAAAAGTTCCTTCTCTGAAAGTCAGTTTCCTCATCTGTAAAAACAGAGACAGCTACTCTGTAAGCAACTCCGAGTAGGGACAGAATGTGTATTACGGCATCCTGAAGTACTCAATGTTTATGTTAGTTTCTTTGATAAGGGAAATAATCATTAATAATAAGCTGTTCCACAAGCTGGAATCCTACAACAAAACTAACCAATCAGTATCATACTCGATCAAAATGAGATCAGAGCATCATGTAAACCTTCACACCTCACTACTTTATACGCTATTACATTCGCCTATAGGTACAGAGACTGTCTCCTAAACCACTGCTGAGCATGGAACAAAAGCCGTCGCCTGTGACATACTGTACCTTTTGATTTGATTTCTTTTCCCTTGAATGGTTAAAACGTGTAAGCTAACACAAACCTGTCACAGTCCGCTGGCCATCACTTAGGTTATTCCACCACTTGTTAATCTAAAACAGATGGAAAATTGCATATCACCATATGTGAGAAATTTCAGGCTACAAAAATGAAAAACCAGAAGAAAATGCCTTGCACATAAAGGAGGACTTTCTCTTCTGTAAAAATCACTGGTCGCCACAGACATAATAAATACGTACTAGAGTGGAAAAGGGAAGTGTTGTCTTGTCAGGTAGCCCACATTCTCCACACAGAACCACTGGATAGCTCTGGGACCACAATTACTTCTAAACCTCAGTTTCCTGACACATGAAATGGGACAATAGATACCTAGGCAGTGTTGTCACGAGAAGTAACAATAATGTAAAGCACACTCACAGATACAGACAGGTACCAAGGAAGTGATTATTCATACCAAGGTCCTATGTTTTAAAATTCTGAGAATAATGCCTACTAAACTGTACTTTTTTAAAGATCTAGTAATGGTACTGGAGTTTAGTAAAAAGAGGAGTGTCCTAATTTTTCAGGGATACATGTTGAAAATTTTATGGATGAAATATGTCTAGAATTTGCTTTACCATAATACAAGGGTGGAAATAGAAGGGAAAAAAGGGAAACAGATGAAAAACAAAATTGGCCCTTTGCTGGTAAACACTGAAGCTGGATGATAATGATTCATAATACTATTCTCTTTACTTTTGTATCTGCTTGAAATTTTCCACAATTAAAGTTTTAAAATAAAAAAAATATTCTTTTTTTTTTTTTTTTTTTTTTTTGAGATGGAGTTTCACTCATGTTACCCAGGCTGGAGTGCAATGGCGCGAACTCGGCTCACCGCAACCTCCGCCTCCTGGGTTCAGGCAATTCTCCTGCCTCAGCCTCCTGAGTAGCTGGGATTACAGGCGCACGCCACCATGCCCAGCTAATTTTTTGTATTTTTAGTAGAGACAGGGTTTCACCATGTTGACCAGGATGGTCTCGATCTCTTGACCTGGTGATCCACCCGCCTCGGCCTCCCAAAGTGCTGGGATTACAGGCTTGAGCCACCACGCCCAGCCATAAAAAAAAATATATTCTAATGATGAAATCAAACCAAACTTTGTTCTTAAAAATAAAAATCCAAGGTAAAAGAAATTACAGATTAGTACGCATGATTCCATGTTTTCTTTTTAAGAGACAGGGTCCTCCTATGTTGCCAAGGCTGGTCTTGAACTCCTACGCCAAAGCAATCCTCACACCTTGGCCTTTCAAAGTGCTGGAATTATGGGTGTGAGCCACCACACCCGGCAGATTCCATTTCTACAATTATAATTGCACTGTGTATGAGCTCCCAGATCTTACTTCATAGAGAGTGGTACAAAAGGGGTTCCCAGGACTTTCATGTTTCCATGTTAAATTCACATGTTGTTTCAATCTTAACGGTAATAGGTTTTATACGTTAAACCTGTCATTAGTTTAATTCCATTATAAACAAATCAGTCTTTAAATGAAGATTATGTAAACTGTTCGTGTCATTTTTCACCACTCTCAAGAACCATCTGGGTATATCTGGATATCAAAACTTCATGTGCAGACATGTGCTGGAAACCTATAACTTTCTAAGAGTTCCAGGATAATGGAATAGGTCAGTTTTACTCTTCTCAAATGCACTGTACTGAATAAAAGTCTATTGCGAGTTATTGTCATTTTCACCTGCAAATATTATCCACTGTTCTTCTGGCATAAAGCCTCTCGAACACAGACAGGGTTCACGCTTCCTGAATGTGCCCATGCGCAAACAAGGAGGAGTGAATTCCTTTCCCTACTTAGAGAAAACTCAAACCATCATAGTAAAAAGAAAACGCAAGACTTCCTTCCCAGGCTCTTGCTGGCGAGGACCACACTGCTCCCAGGATGGGGAAAAGTAAAGAAGATATCAACCCACTCTCCAGATTGGAAGGGCAATTGTGTCATAAAAATCAAAAGTGCTTGAAACTACATAGGCCTGGAACCACATATTAACTACAGTCTCAGTGTTCAATATGTACTGGTGGCCGGGCGCGGTGGCTCAAGCCTGTAATCCCAGCACTTTGGGAGGCCGAGGCGGGTGGATCACGAGGTCAAGAGATCGAGACCATCCTGGTCAACATGGTGAAACCCCGTCTCTACTAAAACTACAAAAAATTAGCTGGGCATGGTGGCGCGTGCCTGTAATCCCAGCGACTCAGGAGGCTGGGGCAGGAGAATTGCCTGAACCCAGGAGGCGGAGGTTGCGGTGAGCCGAGATCACGCCATTGCACTCCAGCCTGGGTAACAAGAGCGAAACTCCATCTCAAAAAAAAAAAAAAAAAAAAAAAAAAAAAAATATGTACTGGTAAGTAAAAGAAATAAAATATTTATATGTTTTATCTAAAAGCAAACATTTTTAAGAAATCAGTTAAGAAAGAAGTGGGCCATCAACTCACATATAAAGTAAATGAAAAGCTCTAAAAGCTCCATATTTTTTTTTGTATTTCATCTTGAGCACAGAGACACTCAACAGCTGGTATTTACCATAGGTGTGTAAATATCATGTCACTGACAAATGTCTAAAACTCCTCTTGGGGAGAGGCACGGTGGCTCATGCTTGCAGAATTCCAGCATTTTGGGAGGCCAAGGAGAAAGGATCACTTGAGGCCAGGATTTTGCGACCAGCCTAGGCAACAAAGTGAGACTCCCATCTCCACAAAATATGAAATAATTGGCCCAGTGTGGTGGCACATGGCTGCAGTCCCAGCTACTTGGGAGACTGAGGCGAGAGGACTATTCAAGCCCAGGAGTTTGAGGCTTCAGTGAGCTATGACTGCATTACTGCACTGAAGCCTAGGTGACAGAGTGAGACCCTGTCTCTTAGGGAAAAAAAAAAAAAAAAAAAATCACTTGGTAACCCTACCCCTAAGGCATGTGTGTATTTTGAAAAATTCTCTGCAGTTCAAATATGTACTCTAAAGCTGGGGTCTCCATGCCCCGGCTGCTGACCAGTAGTGGTCCGTGGCCTGTTAGGAACCGGGCCACACATAGGGGAGAAAATTACCACAGCTCTGCCTCCTGTCACATCAGCAGCTATATTCGATGCTCATAGGAATGCAAACCCTACTGTGAGCTGCAATGTGAGGGATCTAGGCTGCACGCTCCTTGTGAGAATCTAGTACCCGATGATCTGAGGTGGAACAGTTTCATCCCAAAACCATCTGCCCCCTGCAACCCCAATCTGTGGAAAAACTGTATTGCATGAAACCAGTCCCTGGTGCCCAAAAGGTTGGGGACTGCTGCTCTAAAGTAATCCAGCGAGGTGATCCAAGTACAAAAGTGGTCTTTAAACTTTAGTAGAGCCGAGACATCCTCTACACAGAAACGTTAACAACTATTAATTTTTTTTTTTTTTTTGAGACAGTCTCACTCTGTCACCCAGGCTGGAATGCAGTGGTGTGATCTCAGCTCACTGCAACCTCCGCCTCCTGGGTTCAAGCAATTCTCCTGCCTCAGCCTCCAGAGTAGTTGGATTACAGGCATGGGACACCATGCCCAGCTAATCTCTGTATTTTTAGCAGAGACAGGGTTTCACCATGTTGGCCAGACTGGTCTTGAACTCCTGACCTCAGGTGATCCAACCACCTCAGCCTCCCAAAGTGCTGAGATTACAGGCTTTTTTTTTTTTGGAGACCGTCTCACCTGTCAACCCAGGTTGGACTGCAGTGGCACGATCTCAACTTACTGCAACCTCCATCTCTCGGGTTCAGGCAATTCTCCTGCCTCAGCTTCCAGAGTAGCTGGGGCTACAGGTGTGCATCACCACACCTGGCTAATTTTTGTATTTTTAGTAGAGATGGGATTTCACTATGTTGGCCAGGCTGGTCTTGAGCTCCTGACCGCCTTGGCCTCCCAAAGTGCTGGGATTATAGACTTGAGCCACCATGCCCAGCTGACATTAACATTTTTAACCACCATCTGAGGTGATTTTGGATGCAAGTGGGTTAGAAGGCCAGAATTCTTGGAACACTGTCAAGTGCAACACCAGACATATAAAACAGTAATAAATATTTTGAAGAATATTAAGTGCACTGACTTGACATCTATTAATCTGATGTTGCCATTAACTAAAAGCACTTTATAAATAACCAGAGTTCAAAACTTGAGATTGCCAGTTGAGTAACTACAGTAAACTATAACACATAGTATATTTCAAAATAGCTAGTGGAGAATAATTCAAATGAACCTAGCATAAAGATAAATGTTTAAGGTGATAGATATTCCAATTACTTAGATTTAACTACACATTATGTATATGCATCATGTACACTGAAAACATGTGCATCTATTATGTATCAGTTTTTTAAATCGTGATTAGCTAGAACAAAGAAAGCAGTGTTTATCTTTACCTCCTTTCTGAAATCTCCTTTTTTTTGTGGTCTTATGCTATCCAACCAATCAGCTTTGATACCATCAAAATAACTCTGGACCCTGGATTTCAGTGATTCATATTGCCAAATAGCAGCTGATCCAAATGCACAGCCTGTAAACTATATAAAATTAGAAATATTAAAAAATAAATTTAAAAGGGAAATAGATCTATATATATTTCCAAGGACAATAATTCATTTTCATTGCTTTTTACAAACCAACATAAGGAATACCTGGCACAGTGAAATCTAATAAGTGAAAAGGATTTTTTTTTTTTTTTTTTGAGACAGAGTTTTGCTCTCTCCCAGGCTGGAGTGCCATGGTGTGATCTCAGTGCACTACAACCTCCGCCTCCCGGGTTCAAGCAATTCTCCTGCCTCAGCCTCCCAAGTAGCTGGGATTACAGGTACCTGCCACCACGCCTAGCTAATTCTGTATTTTTAGTAGAGATGGGGTTTTGCCATGTTGGCCAGGTTGGTCTCAAACTCCTGACCTCACGTGATCCACCTGCCTCGGCCTCCCAAAGTGCTGGGATTACAGGCGTGAGCCAATGCACCCCGCCGAAAAGGACATTTTATTGTTTCCCTTTTTATTAACTTCACAGTATGCTGGGGCCTGTTTCCAGCTATAAATCCTCAAATAAAACTGAAAACACCAACTTAGCACCACTTGAAATGCTGTACCAAATGCGGCCCATAAGTTTATTCTCTAAGGCTTACATAAGTGAGCCAGATTCTAAAAGCAAGTATTAAATTCAGACTCTATAATCAGAACTCATGAGCCCAGCTCCTTTTGATCCCCCTCCGCCTGTCCTTACTTTAAGGGAGCCCAAACAGGACAAAGTATTTTAACGCTGCATTTGTAGCAAGGTAGGTAACTCCTAGCGAAGTGCACTCTTACCCCAACAGTAAAAAATAATGGTTTTATGAGAGTCCTTATAGGGTAGGGAGAGGGATAAAAGGCTGTTTCTTCCACGGGAGGAATCAAAGCACTTCTCTTGTGTGCTTTACCACTTGTCCCTGTGTCTGATCTTCGAGGTTCAACCTTCTTGGGTGCTTTTCTGAATCCGCATTTTTGCTGAATAACGAAGTTAAACCTATGGGGCAAAAATAACAGATTAGAAACACAGTGGCGTCTTGCAAACAGCACCTTCTGTGACCCTCCACTTTGCCTGCATCGTCACGTCTCAGTCTCTTCTCGTTCTGCAGTCCAAAAACAGCCAGCACTCCTACTCTCAGAATTCGAAGTCACAAAATTCAAACTTTCTGGAAAAGGTGACACACAAACTACAACAACTTCAGAGGATACTACTACTTTGGGCTATTACTTTGTATCAGTCAACAAAATAATTTGTATCTATCCTCCACACAGAAGAAATGTGAAAACCTGGTAAAAAGCTAGAGAACCCTAAATTATTATTTTTTGAGACAGGGTCTCCCTCCGTCACCCAAGCTGAAGTACGATCACTCCCTCCAACTCCCAGTGGTACGATCACGGCTCACTGCAGCCTCCACATCTCAATCTCAAGCGATCCTCCTGCCCCAGCCTTCCAAGCAGCTGGGACTACAAGCTTGAGCTACCACACTCTGTTACAATTTTTGTACCTTTTGTAGAGATGGGGTTCTGCCCTGTTGCCCAAGCTGGTCTCGAACTCTTGGGCTCAAGCAATCCTCTTGCCATGGCCTCCCAAAGTGCTAGGACTATAGCACGAGCCACGGTGCCACACCAGTTGTCAGTTTCTTTCTTTCTTTCTTTAATGGAGTCTTGCTCTGTTGCCCAGGCTGGAGTGCAGTGATGCAGTCTCAGCTCACTGCAACCTCCACCTCCAGGGTTCAAGCGATTCTGCCTTACCCTCCCGAGTAGCTGGGACTACAGGTGCATGCCCCCACACCCAGCTAATTTTTGTAATTTTAGTATTGATGGGGTTTCACCATAGTGGCCAGGCTGGTCTCGAACTCCTGACCTCATGATCCGCCCAACTTAGCCTCCCAAAGTACTGGGATTACAAGCATGAGCCACCGTGCCCAGCCGTCAGTTTCAATCAGCTCAGAATGACTTCCGATTTTTTTGTTTAAAGTTTGGTCAATTTATGGAACAAATACATGTATTGTCCCTGAAGACATTCCAAATTCCAGTAATTATTTCCTTTTATAAGTATTGACCATTATAAATTAATACATTCCTTCCACCTCTCCCCTTCTTTATTTCACTGTTTTGGGGACATCCACCAAACCTATTTCTTAGTTCTTACCCCAACAATAAAAAAAATCTTTGTTGTTTGAGTCTTTACAGCTTGACCTCCTCAAAACATCTGACACTACTGATCATGCCTGCCAGTCCCAGCTTCTGTTAACAGCATTTCCTACTCTTCAAATTCACCTTTAACTCCCGGGGTCTTCCCTTTTTCCTCTACCCTAGTTCCTCTACCCAACTCAAACTCAACCTATATATGTTCTTGAAACATTCTTCTTTTTCTTTTGTAAAACTGTAACTTTCCCAGGTCACGAAGTAAAGATCCCTTCCTGTTTCTACCCTGAACACATTATCTCTTAGTATTTTGAGAGAGTCTCACTCTGTCACCCAGGCTAGAGTATAAATGACACAATCTTGGCTCACTGCAACCTCTGCCTCCCAGGTTCAAGTGATTCTCCTGCCTCAGGCTCCTTAGTAGCTGGGATTACCACCACGCCCAGCTAACTTTTGTATTTTTAGTAGAGGCAGGGTTTCACCATGTTGTTCAGGCTGGTCTCAAACTCCTGACCTCAGGTGATCCACCCACCTTGGCCTCCCAAAGTTCTGGGATTACAGGGATGAGCCACCATGCCCAGCTTTCCCTTATTTAAGGGATAATAATGTACATTATTTTTATATAAGGGATATGTTCAGGGATAACATTATATTCAGTGCATAACATTCAGTGAGGAGTATCATGACATACTATCCCTACTAGCCTCAAAGCTTCTCAAAAGCAGAGATCGGACATGTCTTTTGTCTCTGTATCCCAGCCCCTAAAACAAGCGCACATATGGTTGAATTTTTTGTGGCCTGGATGACTTCTAAGCAGGTAAATCATTCAAATTTGTTTCTTTAGTCCTTTTTTTTTTTTTTTTTTTTTTT